TAGCCGCCGCGCGCGCCCCGCCCTTCGGCTTGGCCTTGAGATCCCCGGGGACCCCTAGGGTGGCTTCACTTCCTGGCCGAGCCCCCAGGCCCTGCAACCCAGGTTGGTCTAGGTTGGTGGCCACTGCGTACTTCCCGTATCTCCCTCCACCATTCCACGTCCTGGGGTGGGGTGCTCGAGGTGGATCTGGGGCAGAGACCTGGGAGGTCGCCTTCCCCCTCCACCTTGATACTGAGAATGGGTCTGGGGTTTGGATAGAATTCCCGGTGCAGCAACCTATGCAGACTTTACCCTACTACGTCCCAAGGTTTCCGGCCCAAGGTGGGAGCAGGCAAGGGGTTGGGGACCCGCGGGCCGTTTTCTGAGCTAACAACCTTGATGCTTTAAGGAGGGATTCGTGAGCCCCTCCCCCAGCTTGCCTGGCCGGCTTGCTAGGCTGTCGTAGGCAAGGTCTTCTAGATTTAGGCAGCTCCCACCTGGTCAGTTGTATAGGCAGAAGGACTGGCCTTAATCAGTGGAACCCAACCTGCCTGTGGGAGGGGAATCTGCCTATGAATATCCAGGGATACCGTTGGGGGTCCCTACTGTGATATATACTCAGGACCCTGACCTGAGCTCCCCTTCTATCCACCCCCCAAATCTGGTATTAGGTCAGGTGAATTTCAGAGTCATAAGGGGTGATGCGTTGGTCCAGTGATGTCCTCTCTTACACACACACACACACACACACAGAGAGAGAGAGAGAGAGAGAAGAGAGGAGAGAGAGAGAGAGAGAGAGAGAGAAAGAAAGAATATGTGTTGATGAGGAAGAAGAGAAGGGTGTCACTGCTCCAGAATCCAGGAGAAAGAAGCTGAGCCATATCTCATTGTTTCTCCATCTCAAGAGCAGGCGCCTTTCTATCTCCTGGGGCCCTTGCCCCAGCCAGGCCCCAGCTGGGCTCTGGCGCCAACTCATCGTCTGTTGAAGGGGTTTCTGGCTCCCAGGTCCTCAGGTGGGCAGAGACCCCCAGGGATCTCAAATGATATGATCAGTCCCTGAATCCTCCAAGGAGGCCCTGAGCCCAGCAGAGAGAACCAGAAGAAGGGGGCCAGAGGAAGGTTCCAAACGCAAAGGAAGGC